TGTCTGATATTAAGTATTCTGTGGCATAATACTGTAGAACTCTTATTTGAAAACAGCTAAATTGAACCATTGTTCTTTATAATTGTATTTTGGGGAATTTTTTAAGCAGCAAAATGGTAATTCACTCTGTATGTATTCTTTAGAAAATCTTTCTGACCCCCACCCAAAATGATGGAGAAAGTGATGAGACTGTTCCTTTTGACAAAACGATGAAATATTCAGATACCCTGGGAAAACAGCTATAAATCCTGAATAAAACTTTATTAGTGTTACTGAGCTAACAGGAAGTAGGTGAAATCTCCAGGGCCTACTCTCCCTTCCCTCCCCTGAAAAGAACAAGTCATAAATCAAAACCAGAAGCATGAATTGTCTTAAGTGGTTCCAGATTGGTGCATATCACAACTACCACCTGAGATAGATGCAGATCCTCTCCATAGAAGACATCCCTAGTTCAGCCCTGTAGGATTCCCACAGATCAAGAGCAAGTAATTAAAGATCACCAAGGACAAGAAGAGGCAACCCACCATGAATAAGAACCAGCAGAAACAACAGATAACGGAATTAGTTAGACAGGACGTCAAAAGTTAGAATTGGCATCTAAAGAATATAGCTATGGGCCGGGCGCGGTGGCTCACGCCTGTAATCCTAGCACTCTGGGAGGCCGAGGCGGGCGGATTGTTTGAGCTCAGGAGTTCGAAACCAGCCTGTTGCTGTGAGCTAGGCTGACGCCACGGCACTCACTCTAGCCAGGGCAACAGAGTGAGACTCTGTCTCAAAAAAAAAAAAAGAATATAGCTATGTATGAAATGTATAAAGAGATGAAAGATGGAATTATAAAGATGAGGAAGCCATGAGAGTCAAGAATGGCCAAGCAGATCTGAAAAAAAAACAAATGGGACTTCTAGAAATGAAAAATACAGTAGTTGAATTTTTTTTAATAAATAACTTAATTACATGTTAAACAGCACATCAGACACAGAATTTATGAAGTGGAAGATGCATCTAAAAACATGACACAGAATGCAGCTCAGAGAGACAAGGTGATGGAGACTATGACAGATAGTAAGAATGTGGAGGGTAGAATGAGGAGTTCCAACTTACGTGTTTTCAGAATCCAAGAACAAATGAATGGAGGAGAGGCAATATTCAAAGAGATAATAGCTGAGAACCTTCCAGAACTGATGGAAAACATGAATATACAGATTCCAGAAGCAAAACGTATCATAAGCAGGATTAAAGAAAGAAGGAAGGCAGGAAGGAAATAAAACTACAGTCAGATTTATCATAATGAAATTGCATAATTCCAAGACAAAGAAAACATCTTAAAATCAGCCAGAGGAAAAAAGATCACCAACAACGTGGAGAAATTGAAACCTTTGTGCACTGTTGTTGGAAATGTAAAATGTTACAGCAACTGTGGAAAACAGTACTGCTATTCCCCCCAAAATTAAAAATAGAATTACTGTATGATCTATTCGACTTCTGGTATATACCCAAAGGAACTGAAAGCAGAATCGCAAAGAGGTATTTGTACACGAATGTTCATGGCAGCATTATTCACAGTAGCCAAAAAGTGGAAGCAACCCAAGTGTCCGTCAGTGGATGAATGGATAAACAAAATGTGATATAAACATACAGTGGAATGTTACTTAACCTTAAAAGGGAAGGAAATTATGACCCATGCTCTATATAAGACAGATGAACTCTGAGGACATTATGCTAAGTGAAATAAACCAGTTACCAAAAAAGCATTATGTGTAAGAGGTACCTAGAGTAGTCAAGTTCATAGAGACAAAAAGTAGAATAGTGGTTGCCAGGGGCTGGAGGAAGGGGGAATGGGGAGTTAGTGTTTAATGGGTGCAGAATTTCAGTTTTGTAAGATGAAAAGAATTCTGGGGATGGATAGTGCTGATGGTTGCACAACAATATGAATATACTTAATACCTCTGAACTGTACATTTAAAAATGGTTAAATTTTGCATGTATTTTACCACAATTTTTAAAAAATGGGAGAAGATCCACCTACAAAGGAATGGAAAACTGACAGCTTTCTCATTAGTAATACCAGAAGGCAGAAGAGAATGGAAGAATGTATTTAAAGTACTGAAAGAGAACTGCCAACCTAGAATAATGTGCCCAGTAAGTACCTCCCAAGAAAAAGGATGAAATAAAGTAATCTTCAAATTAGAAGAGAAACTGAGAATTTGCCACCAACAGACCTGCACAAAAGAAATGTCTAAAGGATGTGCTAGAAAGAAGGCAAATTATGTTTTCCAGAGCCAAACGCATCCAAAGAGTAGATGAGTCTGTTTGGTCAGCCATCCAGCGGGCTTGTCTACTTAGTATCTGAAGGATGGATTAAATAAGTTTGAGTTTTAAAAAAGTCTCCATAATATCCACGTCCGTGTTGAACTAGGTATGCAGAATCCTCTGACAAATCTACCACATACTCACTGCCATTGCTGTGACCTACAGTTATGAGTTAGGATTTCAGATTGAATAAAAAGGCAGAGCCCAAAAGAAACCACCTTGATACGGCCCCTTCCGTACCGTCCATGCAGTCCTTTAGGCAGGTGGATGTGGAGACCTCAGTGGAGGGTGGCAAGTAGTACCATCCCTGGCACTGATGCGCAGCGATTACTGTAGCTTTAACATGTCCTTTTCATTATCTTAAAAACGGTGGTGTATCTGTTCCCGTATACCTAAAATGGATGGTCCTTATAAGCACCAGTGACCGTCAAGCTGTCTGTGTATGCTAGAGCTTGAGAAACACCACGCTAGGTAATTCTGTTTTCTTCCAGCAGACTGTCCCCAAACCCATTGCACTGGAGCCGTGTTTTGGCAACAAAGCCGCTGTCCTCTCTGTGTTTGTGCGGCTCCCTCGAGGCCTGGGTGGAATCCCTCCTCCTGGGCAGTCAGGTGAGTAGGTGAGAGCCAGTGACAGACCTTTTGGACTGTGAAAGAGCTAAGCATTGGACACTTCCCTTGGCTTAGGGATAAAGGTGATAAGGAACAGTGCCTGTCACATGTCATGGCAGAGATGTGGTGAGGTAATCCCATTGTTACTTATGTTCCCAAAACTGTTTTCCTGGGGTCACTGTTCCCTTCCTGGGGAGAAGTCCTGGGCCCACCTCGCTGTGCCTGGCCACCCTAGCCTCTCAGTGGTTGTTGGAGCTTCTGGCCACGGCTTCCTTTGCTGCCGAAGTTTCTGGTCCCCCTGCGGCTCTGCTGCTCCTTTCCTGGCTCTCTCCCTCCCCCCACTCCATGCGCTCCTCCTCAGCCACCTCTTCCGCTCCATTGCTTCCAGCCATCTCCTCAGAGCTGGTGATTCTCAAATGGGTATTTCTTTTGAGAAATCTTTTCCTTTTTCACTCTGTTTGAAACATAAGACACAAACAACAGTTATAACAACATAAGGGAAATTTCTGAAAATTTACACACAGCTCTACTGTCCTAACACTCACCAAGTTTCATTGTTCTGTTTCCTTTTCAGCCCTGGCTGAAATAATTAGTTGAAATAATTATATAAATCTAATTTTTATTCTTTTTCCTCACTGCGCTTTATAATTATGATAAACATTTTTACAACTTACTACATAATATTTTACCAATGTCTTTTATACTTTTCCATCAAATATATGAATCATAATGCATATAAATATTCTCTTATTTGAACATGAAGGAAATACGGACTATAGTTTTAGAAATATCTTGCTTCATCATGGAGTACCTTGGAGGGTGCCTCAAACAATGTGACCGTTTTAGTCACCTTTCAGTCGAGATGATTCTGGGAGTCAGGCTTGCCTTAGCCAGAGCGAAGCTTGTGCCTGTGAGGAAAGGATGCCCCGGGACCCTTCTAGGCTCTGAGCTCCATGCTCCCCTCAGCAGAGCCTTCGTTCGGCTTTCTGAATGACCGGGATCTGTGGTGTCCTCACCAGGGTGGCCTTTAGGATTTATTGTCTGACTCTCACGTGGGGATTCCTGTGTGTTGAGCCCCTGACTTGACCTTGCCCATGTTGATGACTGGGCGACCCTGTGACCTGACACTCCGGGGCAGTGCATGTCTCTGGCCACCACCCAGCCTAGCAAACGTGGGCTGGTGCTCCCTGGGAGCAAGGCACTGCCAGGCATGGGGAGGTGACAGGTTTGCAACCCTGTAGCCTTCCCTGCCCAGCCTTTGCCTGATATCCCACAACCCCCCGGGACTCCTACAGCCCTGCTCCTACTTGAGTGAGCCCTGGCGCCGTCCTTGCCGCCCCTCCTGCACCCGCTGTTTTAATGGTGCCTTCTTCTGGACTCCCAGAGCGCCAGCTCTGCTTTTGCCATAAGCATGTATCGCTGGCATGGATTCCCCCCACGTGCCGGGCACTACGCCAGACACTTAAAAGCTGCCCCCGCTGGCCCCACTTCATAGGCCCCAGGAGGGGAGTAACAGGCTCTGCTAACAGCTCCCGAGGGCGGCCTCCGTGGGGCTCTGAGCCTGGGCCGGGCGGTTCCCCCGTGTGTCAGGAATCCAGCTCCCCAGAACCGCACCTTTCCTAGTGAACACCAGGCTGATCAGTGACCAGTACAGAAAGGGAAATGGGACCACAGTCCCCAGAGCAAAGGCAGGCGGGGTGAGGAGAGTGAAAGGAATAGTTACTGATCATTGTACGTGCCAGTACTGTCCTAAGACTATGCTGATTCACTCACCGACTCTTCACACTAGCCCTGCGCCGTGATTATCCCCATTTTACAAATGAGGAGACTGAGTCACGGGGCAGTTAAATAACCTTACTTATTCCAAAGCCTGGCCCAGAGTCTGCTCTGCCCTTTGTCATGGTGTAACTATGAAAATAACTAATGCTGACTGGGTGACGTGGGATGAATCCAAATTTCATCGTAAAGCGTGCTGCTTTTTCCAGGCACCCAACTGAGCACTTAGAGCATGTCTGCTGTGTCATCTGTGTGGCCCGCCACCAGGCAGCACTTTGGTTGGCTTGCTGAAAAGCAAAGCTGCACCTTGTGTGTCAGACGTGGGGAAGGGAGAATGCGTATTTGTATTTGCATAAGCAAACCCTGGAGGAATATATAAAAACTAATGAAAGAGCGTACCTGGAGTGAGGGACAGGAGGGAAGTAAGACTTTCCCCTGCATACCTTTTTTTTTTTTTTTGGCTCCATGGGAATGTAAAAAGAAATTTTAAAATTATTTTTAAAAACAAAATAAAACAAGCTGCTCCTTAACATGTGTTCCCCCTGTGGGTTCTCCCAAGGTCTTGCCGTGGCCAGCGCCCTGGTGGACATTTCTCAGCAGATGCCAATAGTGTACAAAGAGAAGTCAGGAGCGGTGAGAAACCGGAAGCAGCAGCCCCCTGCACAGCCTGGGACCTGCATTTGATGCTGGGGCCAGGGACTCTCCCGCACACGAGCGAGCAAGCGTGTGGCACGCCAGAGCCGTCTGCAGGGGAGGGCGCGGCAGGGGAACGGCTGTGCGGTTCAGGGCAGAAGGCTGGAGACCCTCGAAGCATCCCACTCACCCGCATGATCACAAGCTTTCTTTGACGGTTTCTCCCATCCGTGTTTCACCATCTAATCTTTTACTTTTGCATAGGAAACACTCGATTGAATTACAAGTCCAGGGATGAGCTGGTTGTTGCTGGAGGGGGCCGGTGTAGAGCCAGTGGAGAACTAGGAGTGACTCAGGTTCACTTGTGGACAGTGTTCTTGGGACTGTCTCAACTGTGCAAAAAACAAAAGACGGAGTGTTTACAAGTAGACATTAGTCATCAGTTGTTCTTGAACATGGTCTTTTAAAAACTAGTCAGATGAATTAACTTGTTTTCATCTGAAGCCTGCTGTCTTTTTTAAAAGATGTGCTATTTATTCTTGCACGATTTAGGCAGATCTCTCTCTTCCAGGGAGTAGCTTTTTTCTAGTTGAGACTTAATAATGGTCCATCTCTTTTGAATCATATCAAGCTAGGATAGAAGGGGGCTATTTTAAATGTCAAGGTCAGCTGTTACTTCGAATGTAAACTGATGTAGTAGTAGATAATTTTTTGTAGCAACGTGATTAATTTAGTCTTAATCCATTTGAAATTTTCTCTTCCTTTCTCCCCCTCTCCCCCCTCCTTCTCCCTCTCCACACCTCTCTCTTTCTCTCACATACACACACACATACACACACACTAAGTGCCTAGACTTTAAATAGATCTAGCAATTGGAAAGTTAGTAAGCCTAAGTTTTTACATAATTGCATTCCTACATTCTTGTAAAATTTAAATAGCTACCATTGGCAATCTGCTCTTTTTCTAAAATCTAATTTGCAGCCCAGGAAAGAATTTTCTCACCCCAAGGAACATCTGACCTAGCAGCAGGGACTGAGAGGAAAGCAGAAATGAACTAATTGTGAAAGCTCCTGTTTTTATTGTCAAAAAGGACACTGTCAAGAAGGTGCCCCCCAACCCCCACCCCGGTGCCACCCTAACCCTGAATTTGATCAGCCCTCTGGCCTCCTCCTGCCAGGGCACCACAGAGGAAGGGACTCGCTCATGTCATGTGTCTCCTTGAGCAGAAAAGAGCACGGAGAGCACTCGGGACCCCTGGATCAAAGAGTGACTGACCGTGTGTTGTTCCTGTAGCCTGCTCCGAGCTCTGGGTCATTCTCAGGCTGGGTGGAGTCAGATGCCAGGAGAGGGACAGCCTCCCGTTGTTGGGCACAACTTGCCTAAAGCCTGGAGCAGGACCTGGAGCTGTTGGCCCTCTTTCCCCCAGGAGGGGCCTGGCCCACCATCCTCCTTCCCAGCCTGAAGTGGCTGTGAGGAGGGCAGCGAATGCTGACAAGGATGAAAAGCACATGGAATAAAACGGACAAGGAGGGAAAACTGTGTGTCACATGGAAGATGACCAAATTTGAGAGGGTGGGACAGTCCCCTGCTCTTCTCCCACAGGGCACTGCATGGATGTTGCGTTTTCCCCATTTATGGTGCTCCTCTGTGTTCTGGCGTCAGGCAGCAGACTCCGGGGTCTCTCTTCGGTTTCAAACCGGGATTCTCGGCATCACCCTGTTGGCACGGACCTCTGGATAGCAGTGCTTAAGCTTGTGAATTTGCAGAATACTCAAAGGAGCAAAAACTGCAGCATTTCACCTTTAAATGGAGTGCCTAGAGAGGGAGCATTATCTCTTCCCCAACACTAACCCCACTCCCATGAAGATTTGCCTGGAAAGATATTTTCAAGGAAATTGAACCATAAAACACTGTCTAATGCACAAAACACCTCTACCTTGAGACTCCGCTCTCAAGAAGCTTCTTTTCCACGTAATTGTTAAAGAGCAGACGGTTCTAGAAAAGACCCTTCTTAGCGCCTCACATCCCTGCTCCAGAACACAGCACCCACCAAGAGCCTGCAGTGGACTGGCCCTTGGCCCCTGTGATGACCGCAGGCCCCTCGGCGAAACGACGGGGGCCCCTGGGGACTTTCCTCCTGCAAGGAAGACCCTCCTTGTCTGTTCAAAGGACCAATTTTTCCTTGGCCAAAGAAGTCCCTTCCCCATGTTAGTCCTATGCCTCGAAATAACATGCACCGTGACCCGCAGCCATCTGGTTATGTATTTTTTTTTTTTTCCTAAAAGATAATGTTTATGTTTTAAAAGGAAGGAAGGAGCAAGTGAAGTTTAATTCTGCTCCAACAGTGGAGAAACAGTTGGATCCACCTGCTTCTCCTTTGCAGCCAACGGCAAGCAGCTTCCTCCCGGCTCAGGGCAGAAACAGGGAGTGAGTGGCAGGGAGTGAGAGGAGCTCGGCTGAGAGCCGGTCACCAAGCGGGAATGGGTCGCCATCCGGTGACCTCGTGTCACAGGAGAGCCTGTGTATAAATTAAAATCATCGTGATAACATTGATCTTGCACTTGTACATAACTATACAGTAGTGTCCAGAATGTTCAGACATTCGGGATGTACATAAAACAGAAAAATATCTTAATGTATTTTTATTAAATGTAACAATGTCTGAGTTTCACCTAAGATGTTTTTGTGCCATGTACTGGGTATCCACGTTCTGAGAAGTCTTCTCCTCAGGCCCTGATCCATTAATTACAAAGCCAAGAAGAGCACCCCCATCGTGTCGATGTGTTCAAGTGCATCTGGTACCAATTAGATAACGCTTAAAACAGGACTGTGTCGGAACACGTGTGGAAGGCAGGCAGGGGTCTGTTTAAACAGCAGTACTTGAGACTCGGGAAGCAGGAGTCTCTCTGTCACAAGCACGTCTCGAATCCCTGGCAGCCTCTTGGTACTCTGGGTGACCAGGGATGACCAGTTTTGTCCTGAGAAACGTTTCTCTTAGTCTTTAAGTTCAAACAGCATAACCCGTGGAAATCAGACTTTCCAAAGAGGGGTTCTCCAGGCTGCATTTCCTTTTTGTAGTTTTGTCTCAATTTTTAATGACCATTTCCCAGAACCATAGTTTATTATCCTGAAAACCAGGGGTGGGAGTGGGGAGGCTAGTTAGTTGCTAAATAGCTTCCATTTCCCCATGGAGAGTTTTACACCCCATGGAGAGTTTTACACCCCCTGGGCTCCTGTCTACCTCCTGCCACCTCCCTACACACAGCTGGTGGGGGGGGCCTGTGCTTCCCCTCGAGGCCACCTGCAGACATGGGAGGAGGGTCAGGGGGGACGGCAGCCCATAGTCTGGGCTGACCCACAGGAATGCAGCCCCGGACGGACTGCCAGCAAAAGGGAAATACTGGGATATCTGTGGATGAGGTCCGAGTACAAGACTGGAGACGCGCTGGGAAGTGTGGGGCAGATGAAAAGCCCAGGGCACTACTGGTAGGAGAGACACCTTTCACGTTCCAGTGCAAATCTCGCCCCTTCAGCTTAACGGAGTGTATCGGGGGTGGGGGCTGATTCACTTCCTTGGGTGATGGTGTCATTTTCACGAACACCTTTGATCCTTCCATTTAATTCATTCATCCATTCATTCAACAAATATTTACTAAACACTTACTAACCTAAGCTAATGCTAGGGTAGTGACCGAGATGAAAAAGTAGCTTTTTAGAATTACAACAAAATCCAACTCCTCACACCCCTGTCGTCCCAGGAGATCCTTCCTTGTGGTTTCTGTGAGAATTTTGGCCATCCGGAGGACCAAACCTGGAAGGCAGCAGTGGCCTCCTGTCTGCGAGGTGTGCCCTGCCTCCCTTCTGAAATGTTCACTCCGTTTTGACCAAACTCTGCTCCAGCCATAAAGGTCACCGTGATGGTGTCTCGATAGCCAGGCCCACCGAGAGACACTGCCCCTCGAAGAGAGTCGCTCAGACTAGCAGGCACCCTGCCTACAGGAAGATGCTTTGGAGTGGAGAGGAGAAGTGGCACCTTCTCTTTTAAAGGCAATAATGGAATCGATTTTCAGTAACTGAATTTGTGCACAAAACATTCTAAACACTAGTGAAGCCTGTCTCGTTGAACTAATTCTGGCTCTGGAAATGTTTTTGTTTTATAGTTATTTACGATTTTGGTTTTGTTTTTTTTTTGTTGTTTCATTCGGTTTGGATTCAAGCTAGTTTGTTAATATGTATAATTTAGCATCTATTGCACTCATGTAAATATGGAGTAAGTATTGTAAACTATTTCATTGCTGGGGATTGTGGGTGTTATACATACATTTAGGACTGCAATTTTTTGGTATTTTTTGTATTGTAAAATAACAGCTAATTTAAGCAGGAACAAGAGATTAAGGGAGGTCTGTGCATTTTAAACACAAATGTGAAGAACTTGTATATAAACAAAAGTAAATACTATAATACAAACTTCCTTCTGAAATAAAAGTAGATCTGGTAAAAATGTGGTTTTCTGTTTAATTTTGATTTTGGTTTTTGTTTATATTTACCCTTTGGTCATTAGAACCTTAAGAAAAGAAAAATAGTGTTTATCAGTTTTCAGACTGCCTCAGAGGAATCACTTGGCAGTCATGGAGATGAAGGTGTAAAACCCCCCAGGGCACTGCCTGCACCTCTCTGGGCAGCTTGTGAGCCGACTCCCAGGACCCTCCATGCTGGCATTTGTATGCCCGGAGGGCAGCTGCCCTCGCCCCATGGTGGGATGTTGCCTGGGAGTCCCATGGCTCAGCTGCCTCCCTTTACCCATCAGCTTCCCCATCTCCTCATGGGCTCCTGAATGTCTCTCTAAGGTTTCCTGAGCTCCTGAGTCTCAGGTATGCCAACAGGTCTAATCCTCCAATGGCCACGGCCTTTCCTTGGCCTTGACTTTTTGATGAAGGTTTCCACTGACAGAGCCTTGTTTTGGGGCCTCCCGTGTGCCCTGCCCCACATTATTTGGTTCCTGCCCTCAGGATGGGGTCAGAGTAGTGCCTTTCAGCGCCCTGGTGCAGAGTGCAGGACCCCAGTACTAGAAGTTCCTTCCACAAGGACGAGGCCCTTAAAAAAAGGAGGAAACTGGCCGGGCGCGGTGGCTCACGCCTGTAATCCTAGCTCTCTGGGAGGCCGAGGCGGGCGGATTGTTTGAGCTCAGGAGTTCGAGACCAGCCTGAGCAAGAGTGAGACCCCGTCTCTACCAAAAATAGGAAGAAATTAATTGGACAGCTAAAAATATGTAAAAAAAATTAGCTGGGCATGGTGGCGCATGCCTGTAGTCCCAGCTACTCTGGAGGCTGAGGCAGGAGGATCGCTTGAGCCCAGGAGTTTGAGGTTGCTGTGAGCTAGGCTGACGCCACGGCACTCTAGCCCGGGCAACAAAGTGAGACTCTGTCTCAAAAAAAAAGAAAAAAAGAGGAAACACAGGAAGGCCACTTGCTCCTATAGGGGCCAGGACCACTGAGGGAAGGGCGGAGCCTGGAGGAGGCCTGCCCAGAGCTCAGGGCGGGGTGGGGGAGGAGAGTGGCTAGACTGGTGGCTGCAACCAAGCTGGAAAGGACCTTGAAATTGCCTCAGAGAGGGATGTGGGAGGCGCCAACAGTTTCTGACAGGATAAAAAGCTATGATGGGTAGTATTTTGGCAGAGACAATGCTGCATGTTTCCCAAACCTGTTAGATTTTGCTGTTGCATCAAATCAACAATATCTCGCAGCCTCCTTGCAGTTAGGTTAGGGCCAAACTGGCTGTGGCCAATGAAATGTTGGAAGAAGTGATGCACACCAGTTGCAAACCTGGAGCATAAAACGCTCCCACGTGGGACTCCCTGGAGGCCACGTGTTAAAGATATTGGAGGGAACACAGGTCCCTGAGTCACCACTTGGAGGCCAGCTGCCTAATCAGCAAGAGCTGTGCTGGTCTTTGCATGACTGAAAAGCAAATGTTTACTGATTCATTGAGATCTGGGGCTTTGTTCCACCCATTAGCTTTCCTTACTGTCACCAATACACAAATCAGCACAATGTACCTGTAACCAAAACCTGAAATATGTGGCATTAGGTTAGTCAGTGGCCAGGTGGCAGGCAGTGAGACAACAGATGCAGCAGGCAGGACAGCGAAACCTGTTATGCTGGATAACTTGGAAAGCAAACTGTGTGTCTACTGAGTGTTTGGCTTGAGGGAAAGAAGTGGGTAAAACAGAACGTGGTATGTGTTGGCTGTTACTGGCTGCTTCGGGCAAGGCATCCCAAGAAAGGGTCGAGTTCAAGAAAAGAATCAGCCAGTTTACAAGCGGAAGGGAATAGGGTGGGAAGACCTGAAACCCAGAGCCTTGCAGTGTTGGAAATGCTTCCAGTCTGCAAGCAGTGGAGCAGGTGAGCAGCAGAGCCCAGTGAGACGTGGGGGACACAGTGACTGGGCCTTGTGGTGAAGATCAGGTGGAGGTGTGGTCTTCCCACTTGAGCCCGGCAACCTCAAGGCTACCATCTTGAAGGACAGGCGTGTGGACGAGGAAGCAAAGAAATAAAGCCAACTTGAGAACTGTGTCCAGGAAAGAACCATGAGTGCAGTCACTGACCCTGGACCTGCCTGGAAAACCAAAGAAATAAGTAAACGATGTAGTAAGTTTAAGAAACTATTAGCATGGGCTTAAAAAAAACAAAACAAAACCCAGTGACCATTGAAGAAGCCTGAAAACCACCCTCCGGCAGGAAGATAGCTGTGAGAACTGTGTTCAGGGAAGGCTTACAACCTCAGGTGGCTCACAGAGTAGAACTGGGCCTGAGCAAGGATTTCCCCACTGCCCCCGCCAGGGCAGGGTGTGGCAGGATTTCAAAAGTGCTGCAAGCCAGTGATGGCTGTTTGTCTGCCACCCTCCTCCTCCGTGCAAGGGAGGGTTCCGGAGGGCATCCTGCCTGCTCTCCTGCTCTCCACCACTGCTTGTGGGAGGGAGGGGAGCATAAGATGTCTTGTTAATTCAGAGTTGCAGGACTTTAAAGAGCCACCTGAGGGCGACTGCATCACCTGGAGGTCTGGATGGGACTGGACCCTGTACTGTCCCCCTAGGAGAGGGTGCCTGTGTCCCCTGTGGAGGAGGAAAAGCAAAATGCATTTTGGTGACCAGAATAGCAAACTGGATCAGAGACTGGCTAAATGCTTATGACACAATTTCTTCCTCCTGAGTCCAATAGCTTCAACTGCACTGTAGGACCCATGGCATCTGGATGGAACCATGTGACTTGTCCTCACCAGTGATGTGTCACTTTCTTGTCAAGGCCATTAAGAGTGTCTCTGAGTCTCCTCCACCCTCTCCATCAACGGCGCAGGCTCGTGTGAAGGTGGTAATGCACAGGCCTAAAGGAGCCTGGGTCCCTGAATGACTCTATGGAACAGAGCATTCACTGTAGACCAAAGGTAGAATTTTTTTTTTTTTTTGAGACAGAGTCTCACTCTTTTGCCCGGGCTAGAATGAGTGCCGTGGTGTCAGCCTAGCTCACAGCAACCTCAAACTCCTGGGCTCAAGCAATCCTTCTGCCTCAGCCTCCCGAGTAGCTGGGACTACAGGCATGCGCCACCATGCCCAGCTAATTTTTTTTTCTATATATTTTTAGTTGTCCGATTAATTTCTTTCTATTTTTAGTAGAGACGGGGTCTCGCTCTTGCTCAGGCTGGTTTCGAACTCCTGAGCTCAAACAATCCGCCCGCCTCGGCCTCCCAGAGAGCTAGGATTACAGGTGTGAGCCACCGCGCCCAGCCCAAAGGTAGAATTATTAATAACAGAAGTAGATAATCTCTTCTTGCCCTGCCTGAGTTAATTCCCATTTCTCTAGATTTATTCTTCTAGTTACTCCACACACTTTTATTGAGCACAACAGGGCTAGGCATAGTGTAGGGACCAGACGTTTTGCAGTGAACAAAACAAACAAAAATCCCCGTCTTTAAGGAATTTACAATCTAGTGGGGAAGACCATAATGAATAAAATGTCAGATGATAAGTTCTGTGAAGAAAGGTAAAAGTAGGGTTGGGGTAGAAAGTGCTCTAGGGGTTGCTACTTAACATAGCATGGCCAGCGAAGGCCACTCAGATAAGGTGACAGCTGAGCAGAAAGCTGAATGAAGGAGCAGAATCCGGATGTCTGGGGGAAGAGCATTCCCGACAGGAGCAGGTGCGGAGACCTGCAGGTCAGGTGACAGCAGGCCCGGGGGTGTGGACGCTGGCAGGGCAGTTGGGGTGGCTGAGCACAGCTGGCTGTGGCAGCAGGAGTTGAAGTTGGCATGGTTCTCAACCAGCACAGCACTGCCCCCTAGGGAACATTCTGGAAATATGTGGGGGCGAGTGTGATTGCGCTGTTGGGGGGGGGTGCTGCTGAGATTTAGTGGGTGGGTCTGGGGGTAGACAGCCCGTGGTGTGCAAGACTGTCCCGCCCAGCAGAGAACTGACCCATGTCTGACCTGATTTTCAAACGTTTTGCTGGATATTTGTGCTGTTGAAAACATTTCTAATTATTTTAGTGTGGCACCTAACCCTGTTATAAACAGAGTATTTGACAGCTGGTTTAATATAGTTTTGCAGAAATGCAACTACTGTGTAAATCAAGGGAGGGCTGAATGTTGTTTTCCTAAAAACTTTACCATGAGCTGAAAATTTTGGAAAATTCCATCACCAACAGCAATGTCATTCCTGGTATCTGAGTCCCCAACCTCACATGCCTGTATGGGTCACGTGTGAACAGACACATGCCCTGCAGCCCTGCTTTTGCTGGCTGTGTAGCATGCCTGAGAGGAATTCCCTCCTACCCTGTGTCCCCAGCACAGGAAAGAGAGCAGATGATCCCGATGACGCTATCAAGTGTCCTGGACAGAGTCAGGGCTTGGCCCTGTTGCCAGGGCCCATTTGCACACCCCTAGGCCTGCCGTCCTCATTTAGTTGCTGTCCCCTGAGGGCTCAGTTTATGTTATTTTCTTGTGTGTGTACTCATCTTAATTGTTCTGTCTGTATATTCTGCCTTGTACTGGAGGTGCCTTGGGGTGTGGGGTGACATGTCCCTGGTAGAACAGCTTCCCAAGGTATTCTTCAACCCAGGCCTTCCTGGGCCTGCAGCCGGGCAAGGCAGGGCCATGTGTTCCTGCCTCCATTCGTAGGTGTGCCCGGCTCACTGGCAAGTCGCTGAGGGACTGCTCCTGAAGCCCTGCACAGCCCATCCTCTTGGCCCTCTGGAAATTTCACTGGCCAATGTCCACACTTCCTGCAAAAATGAACTGGTTCTGAGCTTGGCCTGGCCTGACTTGCTTGGTGGGCAGCGAGTGGTTTCCACTTCAACCTCACACGTAGACACTGGGCTCCACGCCAGGATCAGCATTCATGAGCCATGACCTCTCCACCAACAAATCCACCGATGCTTCCAGCACCTGCCTTTTTCCATCACCCCCAGCCACCTGCTGGCTGGGGCTTGATGCTGGCAACAGGTAAGAGAGACCCAGTCATAGGGGTGTAGTTCGGGGCTGGGACTACAGTCTCCCAGAGCCTGTGCATGTAGTGACAGCTCCCTGGCAGGACACGAAGGCTGACCCAGATGTAGAAGAACACAGCACGATCCATTCCTGGTGTGGGGGCCACAGCTGGACTCAGCCTTGAGGCATTTGGCCAGACTTCTGTATATAAACCAGAACCTTTTTAGGTAGAAGTAACAGAAACCAAAGTAACAATCTTAGACAGCTCTATTCATTTCCTTGGGTGGCCATAACAAATCACAACTTCACTGGCTTAAAACAACAGAAATTTATTCTCATGGTTCTAGAGATCGGAAGTCTGGAATCGAGGCGTCAGCAGCTCCAGGAAAGAATCTGTGTCTTGCCTCCTTTATCTTCAGGTGGCTGCTGACATCCTTTGGCTTGTGGCTGCACCATCCAATCTCTGCCTCTGTCCTTTGCGTCGCCTTTCCCTATGTGTGTGAGTTTAGTCTCTCTCTAGACATCTCTGCCTGGCTCTCATAAGGATACATGTGATTGCACTTAGGGCCAGGATAAGCTTCTCCTCTCGAGATCCATAACCTAATCACACCTTTGCCACAGAAGATACTACTCTTTTGCCTACATATAAGGTAACATTTACAGCTTCCAGGGATTGGGAGGTGGACATATCTTTGGGACCACCAGCAGCCATGAAACAATTTTATAATTTCAAAATATATTTTCTTCTCTTTATCTTCCCAATCTTTTAGAAGGTACATTCCTGTATTTTTTATCCAGAATTATACTTTTATTTGAAGTCATTTCCACTTTTTTAATGCCTATATTTGACTCTAATTAACTGAGTCAAAAATGGGAAGTAGATGTGAAATAATTAGGATACAAAGAAAAAAATTTTTAGTTAAAAAAATGACAAATAGTTTAACACACTTCCATATAAGGCAAGTCGTTTAGCAGACATTTGATTCTGGGTTTGGGCTACCGTGCCATCGTGGTGAGCACACACCACACCCTGTGTCTCCTCAACCCACTTGCAGGTGTCCGTTCCCGCACAGGTGTAGGGGTGGGAAGGATTACTCTTCTTCATAAAGTGAGAGTGGTTTTGACTGAGTTTCACTCTGCCCAACACCTTCTTTTTCCTTGAAAAACTGTCCTTCCCATTTCATGTGACTCTGGTGGGCTGATATCACTCCCCAGGCCACAGGAAGAGGCGTATAACCCATGCTGGGCCCATGGGCTACAGAGACTGCTAAAGGGAGAGATTGTAAACCGGAGGCTGATGGTGGCAGTCTTAGCCTCTTGCAGCTAAGGGAAGCCATGGATAGACCAGCAGGGCCAATACCATTTGAACTCCTGGAGATAGCCGTGCCTGAAGCCCAGATTGCTCAGACACACGCTCAAGCCAGTTTGATCTGCTCTGTTACAAGCTGGGAGGAAGCTGGGAGGCTGGTTGACAGCTGCCAACAAGCAGTGTCTGTGGGTTTGGTATAAGTTGCTAAGTACACACTCTGTCTGGGCTGGCGGCTCTTTTCCTGGTCAGGACAGCCCCAGGCCTGAGTTTTGGTGTGATCTGTACCTAACCCTTGTGTCTTAGGTCAGGATCTGTCGAAGCCAAGCCCAAGATAGGAATTCTCATGCCAGGATCGATCCTGTGAGCGAGGGAAGCAGGATAAGGCAGGGGCAGGAGCTGAGCCAGGATGTGGTCCCACCTGGAGTATAGTCTCAGCCTGATTCCATGGGAGCTCTGGAGCACGAATGGCACAGAATCGTCCCCTCTTGAGGCAGGCAGGCCAGCCCCCCTGAATCAGTCATTGGCTGCAGCCACCTCCAGGAGCAGAGTGTAGCCTATAAGGTATTTCCGGAAGGACAATTTTGTAGAGAAGCGGGCAGCTGCAGCTGGGTTAGCAGCCGCCGTTCCCAGTGGCTGGTGGACAGGCTGCATTCGCCCAGAGAGGTCTCTGAGTAAGATGCCAACAGCTTCTACTGCACCCTGTTTCGTGGCTCCTGCCAAACCTCAGAAGGAGCAGCCCAGGAGCACAGTAGCCCCAGTAACCCTCACTCATCAGGAGTCTCCAAGCTTTCAAGGAAGAAGGAAACAGGGAGAAGGCTTAGTACCTTACCTAGACCCCATCGTTCTGCCCTCTCCTCCCAGAACTCCTTTGCAGAACTGCAACTTAACAATTCCCTTGGCATTCGCTGGGTCCACACTGGCCAGTGTGTGTCACATGGCCACCCCAGCTGCAAGGGAGTCTGGGAAATGTAGTTTCATTATCTGAGTACTGGCAGAGAAGGAGAAAGTATAGACGAAAGCAATGGAAATCCCTGTCACTAGGGCCTGAGAGTTGATTCATTTCAGCATCTGTAGGTGAGGAGATAGGAGAAGGAGCCCAGAGAGGTTCTGAGGCCATCCAAGGTCACAAAGGCCAGCAGGGGCACCCCCTGCAGCAGATCCTGGTCTCCAGGCTCCAAGACACAGGTCACAAGAAAGCAAGGTCAGTCTGAGCACATGGGTTTATTGTGCACCATATACCACTCCTACTGCTACGGTAAACTGGGGGAAGATGGCCACAGGGCCAGTGCCATGCAGGGGCAGGGGGGCCAACAAGCAGCGTATCGCATATGGGAAGCACTCGGACAACATTAGCCACGGGGTGCAGGTGGCTCAGCCATGGGTAATGCCTAGTGGGGAGGGTGCCCTGGGAGGCTGCAGCGCTGCCAGCAGTCTTGCCTACAAGTCTGTCAGGTGAATGCCTCAGGGTGTTATCTGCTTGGGAGACTGAGACAACTTCCTAGAATTCTGGGAGTCTGGATGGTCCTGACCTTCTCGAGGAGATCTGGGGCCCTAGGGAGGCCTCAGCTACAAAAGTGACCCTTTCCTGCTCCTACCCTATGAGAGACCCCAATTGTCTCAAGGTCTGTGGAGAAAGGGACCTACCACCAAGACACTTACTGACAGGCAGGCCAGCGCTTTGCAGCCAGGCCCCTGGCCTACATCCAGGGGACAGGGACACAGGGTGTCCAGACCTACAAAGGGCAGCAGGGCAAGAGCACAGAGGCCAGCCTGGTAGGGAAGCCAGTCCCTTTTCAGTGGGGCAGCAGGCCACAGATGTGGCCCTGTATCCCAGGCAGAGTTGGTGGTATTGTCCGAGGTCTGCCATCCTGGTCAGAGCAAGGCCTGGAAGGTCAGGAAGGGGAGGACGGCGAGCAGGGAGCTCCCGTCCGGGGACCCGTCTGTGGAAGACACCTTGGGGGTGGGACAGAGTGTGGACTTGAGTACTCTGCCTGCACCCCCATCCTGGGTATTCACACCTCTACCCAGGCACACCTGGCGTGGAACAGTGTGAAGCAGACAGTGGGGAACTGCCGGTCCCATCCCCTCCCTGCCAGACCTACCTGTAGAAGGCTGTGCTCTGGGCCTGGCTGGGGCTCCAGCTGGTCCTGCAGGATTGGGGGCCACCCGTTGTCAAAGGCCTGTATGGCACCATCTATGGAAGGAGGGGTCCAGGATGGGCTTGGCTGGGAAACCCTAGCGTAGGACCCAGACCCTTGAGGATAAACTGAGAGACCTCCTGGTGGCTGCAAAACTGGCTCCTTAGGATGGAGGGTGCATGGGAGGAATAACAAAATAAGGACAACTGTGCTAAGAGGAACTCAAACTGTATAGTCTACCATCCTCACAGGGGAGGGTAACAATTATCCCCATTTTACAGATGAACACAAAAGGCTCAGAGGTAGTAAGTGAAAGGGTCTGGCTTCAAACTCGGGCCCCGTAACTCCGAGACCACTGAGCTATTCTGACCCTGACAGGCAAGATCATCAGTGGGGTCGGGCGGGCGGGCTGGGAGTGCCTGGGGGATGAAATCTCCTCGGAAGTGTGGAAGTAGGAGTCTAGCCTTGTTCAATTCCAGGTCCTTGTTTTAACTCTCGCCTCCTCCCTCCTGCAGGAGCATCAGCCTTGACATGCCTAGGATTCTACTTAGGGTCTGTGACCCGGTCTCGGGGGACAGCTGCCCGCGGATTCCCCAGGGGCAGGACGACTGCAGAGCGGTGGGGGGTGCACCTGCGTGGCTGCCGCAAAGCGCCTCAGTTTCCTCACTTCCAACATGGCCTATCGCGGGCCAGGCGGCTTGGGAGGGGGCAGGAACTTCCACCCGCGCCCAGGCCCCTCACCCAAGCAGTGGTTCCTTGTAAAGAGCCCCCGGAAGACTTCACACTCCTCACGCCGGTTTCCGCTGGCTCCGCAGTCGCACCAGGGCGCGACGCGCGCGCTCGTGTTGTCCACGTAGTTCGGGGTGACCGCGGTGCCTGCAGGGACCGCGAGGGTGGAGTCATCGGCCCACCCAGGTGGGCATCCCTGAAGAGCCCCAACCCGTGCTCGGGTCCCAGGCGCGCGTACCCACGAGGCCCGCGTAGGCGCGCAGGCAGCGGGGGCCCTGGTCCCGCGGGCAGCCGTCGGGGACGCCG